CTCTCTCTCTCTCTCTCTCTCATCGAACCGAGCACAACGATCTGTCGTCGAACCCAGCACAGCGAGCACCACACCGCGTCTCGCAGCGAGCACCACGCATGCAACGAACCGAAACATCACGAAACAGCACCGCCGTTGGGATTGCCGCGCGGACCCGGGTTGGATAGCCAGATAGTCCGCAGCGAGCACCACACCGCGAACCGCATGCAACGAACCGAAACATCAGGAAGCAGCACGGCCATTGGGATTGCCGCGCGGACCCGGTTTGGACGGCCAGATACAAGTTTCGGGAAAAAATTCTATCTGGCCGTGCTACCCGGGCCCGCTCGACAATCGCAACGGCCGTCACCGGTTCGGCCTGCCCCGACGATCTCACACGGTATCTGTCTGGCCCGCCTGCCAGTCCCACCGTGTTTCCCAACACTGGCGAGCCTGATCTCGTGGGAGTGTTACCCGAGACCCGCTATTCACTTAAAGATGTTAAGGAAGAAAGAGAAGAAAGTTCAAGAAACTGATGAGGCCTTGGTCGCACCAAATTGTATCTGGAAGAGGTCCGTGGCATGTGACACACTCCTAGGGCCTCGCCGCACCACCGTTGAAACCACGAAATGTTTCAAGCTGGACTCTTGAGGGCAGGACTCTTGTGGACTTCATGCATGAAAGACACATGTTTTGTTTTGAGATCTTTTTGTTAAGAGTGCTCGGTCAAGCATGCTTGAAACCTCCAGTGTTGCAGGCTGGGGATTTGGCCGTTTCAAGCTGAACTCTTCGAACTTGAAACCCATTTCTGACATTTCTTGAAAGATTTTGGCGGTCAACAATTTCAGGAGGCTGTGTGGCAGCACAGAGGCTCGAAAATACGTTTTTAAAAGTGGTGTGGCGAGGCCATTACACAATGCACTCTCTTGTACTTTGGAGGTCTATATCCGAACTATCACTTGGCCCCTTGGCTCTCCTTGTCTATGTTCTTGATATTATTCTGCCCCCTTTTCGTCTGACTGCCTTTCCTTGCATGATCTTTTTTGTATTTTGTTCTAATTGTACATCGTTCTACACTCTGTGCTCCATGTAATCCCTCCCTGCATGCAGTTGTCGTCCGGAGCCACCTTTGTGCTTCGCTTCATCCTCTGTAATCTCTCTCTGCTCCTTTGTGCTCCTTTCTGCCCACTGACTCTTTTTGCTACCGTGCTCATTGCTGTACGTGCACTTTGCTGCCTGTGCCTCTTGCTTCATGCTTTTGCTGCTCCCTGTGCTTCTCCCTGTGAGCGTTCATGGTTGCCTGGGCGTACTCTGCTGCCTGTGGCAATGCTGCCTGCTGCGTATTCATCTGCGTATCCCCATGATGCTTTTCATGTCCCTGCTGAGACTGCTCTTTTATGTATTGACCACTTGCATGTTCATTGTGTGCATTCACCGCCACATTCATATATTGGATCTTGTTGTCTTATGGTGCTCTTGTTGCTTATCAATTGGTTTCAGTGAACTTGGGTATCCTGTAAGTGGTATCTAGATGGTTGATGAAAGGACAAGGACGGGACAGGGGGCCGGAGGGGAATGTCTCTGGGATGAAAAGGAGAGCTGGATGGGAGCACACACAATGAGAGGATAGCTCTCTAAGCTGAAAGGCGTGATTGTTGCTCTCTGTTGTCTTTATGGTGCAGGTGCCATTCAACAGGAATTCTTTGAATCATTCTGACGTTTTTGTTCTTGATACGGAACACAAGATTTTTCAGTTCAATGGGGCCCAGTCAACAAAACAGGAGAGGGTCAAAGCAATGGAGGTGGCACAGTTCCTCAAAGATACGAATCATAAAGGAGGTGTCCAGTTTGCGATGATTGGTAAGCAGGGACATGAAACATCACTGTGATCAGGGCATTCTCAGGTGCATGAGAACCTCTAACTGCAATGTGTATCAGTGAAATGACAAAGTTTCTGCCCTTTCGTGTGAGTGCGCGTGTGGGTGTGGGTGTTGAAATGTTAAACATTCTGCCCGTTTGTGTGGGTGTATGTGTGCTGGCATGTGCGAGTGTGTGTGTGTGTGTGTGTGTGTGTGTGTGTGTGTGTGTGTGTAATCGCTATAAACAACTCTGGAAAAAAAAAGCATCACTGTGCCAGACTGTTTCATCAGACTTTCACGTACTCATCGGGAGGTTGAACCCCGACAGGCTGCCCAGGATGCATTTGACATACCCCTGAGAATAGCTGTTGACTTTACTCACACCAACCCAGCAATCCCAGCAGACTCCGTGTGTGGGTGCGTGTGGGTGTGGTTGTGTGTTATGCAGGCTGGTATATCAGCCGTATGTCTTTTGGATTTGAGCGAAGGAAATGAAGCTCTTAATAATATCTGAGACTCTTCAGGTTGTTGGTATGGTATATGCTGCCAGATGAGCAACAATCGTGAATGTAAGAATTTGATGATGCATACCGGATTTCGTCCTAGTTTTCTGGTAAAGCCATATTAGGGTCAGTTGCCACGAGGCCTTGTGCTAGACCAGCCTGGAATGTGTCGACTGCCCGTGTTCCAGTTCCTTCTCAGTTTGCCCGAAGTATGATCTGTGGGGCCCATCCGTTGATAATCAGGGGCAAGGTCTCTTTTTGAAATTTTTAGGCCCCTTCACAGCTGTTGATATGCAACAGTGGAGGGCCTAATGCAGACTTCTCGGGTGGCTACTCCAGACTTCTCACGTGGCACCCATGTATGCTTTACGGTGGAGGACCTTCAAGGTCGACGTGTTGCTGTGGAGACAGCCAGCCCATCTTCTTGGGAGCTTGATCCTGGATCCTGATGTATGCCTTGCATTGGTGACGTATTTTATATTCCTCTGTTCTTGCAATGTGTGGCATGTATGCGGATCTCTTTTCCGTAGTTTCTCTTTGTATTTGGTGCACTTACCATTGTCTTGGTGTCAGATTTTTGCATGCTGACAATCGACTGAATGTCGTTCCTGTGCCATCGGTGTATCTAGGGTAGAGACCTGGTGGGCCGATCTCCTATCCGTAGTTTCTGTTCGTACCTGGTGTACTTCATCACTGGATATCACATACCATGTGGAACACACTGCCATAAAGCTACACTAAAGAAATAAAAAACAGAAAGCAAACTAAAACTGAATATCCCTACACGGTGACACCTACTCTTCCTTGCCTACACAAATGCATGTATGTAATTGTGGCATATTATAACATCGGAAAGGGACACGCAAAAGGCAGAAACTGAGGCACAGAACCAATCCAAGGAGATGGCACCAGCGTTGGTTCCTTACGGGGTGCCGTGATCTGAATTCCAGGTCCATGACGTTCAAGTTAAATATCATGACATATCAGTTGTATTGGCACCGTCACTTTGTTCGCTGCGTTCATGACAATTGCAATGGACAACTTGTACCTAGAGAGTGAATCGATGGGTGGTCACATCAGTTGTCGCAGCAGGTTCAATTTGTTTGCCGAGTTAGTCACGCAACATTTGTATTCAGAAATTTAACCACTGGGCCCACCGTATGCAGGGCTCCGCATCCCTGCAAAGTATACCGCCAGCAGGTGGGCCCCGCCCAAAGGGTAGGGCCCACTGGACTTATAATCCCCCCCGCTAGCCAGGTCAAATGGTTGTCACCGAAGGCTATGCATTTGCAAGCGATGATTATGATTACAGCACATGCCTCACCAGATTCAGAATCTTAGAGTTGTGGCAGACTGTCCATCACGCACACCCACTCATCAGGAGGTTATGGGGTCCTTTCTGAAACACAGAAACAGCTGGTATGCAGCAAGCAGTGTTAAACTTTCTTGGCGGAATGAACACAAGTGTCAGTTGACACCGACAGGGTGCATGTGGGATGAGATTCTCCCAAAGATGTGACATGCCATCAGAAATCAGAAAACGTTACACCCCGCTCCACAAATTCAGTGCTCAATCCTACACTGGGAACAGGCACCAGATCTCCATCCTAGATATACTAATGGCACGGGAATGGAATTCAGTCTATTATCAGTATGCAAGAAACATGTCGCCCCGGTGGTTGAGAACGTAGTTGTGCATATTGTAAATAAGTGATAGGCGTAACAGAGTGTACAAACTCCTGAGAGTAAGTGACATGCTGGATGTGGAAGAAATCGCGGGGACGGCGCTCCTGATGAAATTGGAGAGGAAGAAATCATAGGGACGGCACTCCTGATGAAATTGGAGAGGACCTTTGTATGCCCTTTTTGAGATTCAGAAGTGGGATATACTCCAGTGTGGCACCAGTGGTGAGGTTTGTGTTACGATCCTGGCCAATTTCGAAGTATACATTCATGAGAAAGTACAATGCCCGTCCAATTGCAAAAAGAAATGGATGAGAGGGAATAAGAAGAACAAGAAAGAAGAAGAAGATGTACACCAGCACAGACCAATGATAATTCTCTTCTCCTTCACCTACCACTCTCATTCTCCTTCTCTCCTCCCCTTATACAATAAATAATAATAATAATGTTGAATGGCCGAGTCAGAATCAATGTCCGAATCCCTCTTCTTTTGCAGGCAACAACATGAGGTCCACCATAGCCATGGCCACCCTTCTCCTTCCATCTTCATCTAGGCCAAGGCTATGGCTGACTACCAGGCCTCGCCCTGCTGTGCAAAGGAGGACTTCTCACTGAAACTTTGATGTTGGCTGAGTTTTTTTTTTTTTTTTTGTTTCCTTATTTTGTGATGTGTGTGTGTTTTAGATTATGTCATACATTCAGTTTTTAACCTTTTACACATTTGGAGTGACACAGTCTGACAGAGAAAAAGTTGGCATTTCGTTGATATCGTTGAATGTTTATTTTGACTTGGAAAGCGTTTTTGTGTTAGGGTAGTGTTTTCATGTTTTTTTGTTCTCTTTTTCTTGCCCTTTTTTTTTGTTTTGATGTTTGTACTATGAGCCCAGATTGTTTGTTGGCAAAATTCACCACTATGTTGATTGTGGTGATGCGGCAAAAACGGTGTTTTTTTTGGCCCTCTGTGAACCATGTCTCGTGGGTTGCATTCTGCGTTGGACAGAGGACGGCAAACTTGGCGATGAGGCAGATGCGGGAGAGTTCTGGCTTTCGCTAGGAGGATTTGCTCCAATTCCAATGAAGAAAACTGGCGTAGAGGAAGATCAGTCAGCACGACTGGAATCATTGCCCCCGAGACTCGTCTGGTGTGCAACTTATCCTTTGGCCTGCCTTCTTGGAAGCGGTTTCCATTGGTTGTTCTGATGAATTTGTACTGCAACTGACTTGCTGCAATGTGAAAATAATAAAATTGGTAAAGGTACTAAAGGGCTGAAAGTCCCTGAATATTGTTGTTAGGTGCCTATTTGTAACAATAAACAAGCAACTAAAATGGCGTTGTGTGATTGATAATTGGTTCTTTTTTTTGCATACTTTCAGTTATGCTCTTCCGCCATGTATGTTTGACTTGGTTTTGACAAGAGTGCTGCATAATCTGGGGGATGACGGTGTCTGTTGATGTCCAGGTCCTTTGTAGTCCAAAGACCTCCTGGTTTTGTGAGTGGGGAGTAACTCCTTGTTTGCTTTTATTGGTCGTCATAGGTTTGCTACCCTGTGGGCCTGCTTTATATGCTAGTCAAGTGTAGCCATAAATAGTTCAAGCAGAGTATAAACTCAGGGTTACTCTCAAGTGTGTTCATGCCCGGTATAGTGTGGGTAGGGGCTGAACAGTATACAGACAAAGTGCACATAAAAAGAGTGTCTGCAGGTGGATGTGTATTCATGCCTGAAGATAGCGTTGGTATTTTGTTTGCGATTTCGGAAAGTGAAACTGGGTTTCCGACTGTTTGTCTCATGCTTGTAGTGTTGCAAAAGATTCTTCTTCTCGGATTGCGGAAGGGACTCTGCAGAAGGACATGCTTGACTCTACAAAATGCTATGTCATAGACTGTGGCTCGGAGATATATGTATGGACGGGCAAGAACTCAGCTCTTGAGGATAGGAAGGCGGCAAATGCCCATGCAGAGGTGCAGTTTCATTCTTCCCACCAGATCTTGTTGCGTTTCAACGGAGATGATTCAGTCAGAAATCAATTCATTTGCAAATATCACTTGCTGCAGAGTTCGTATAGAATTATCTTATTTGTATCAGTTTGACATGATGTTTGTGTGTGTGTGTGTGTGTGTGTGAGAGAGAGAGAGAGAGAGAGAGAGAGAGAGAGAGAGAGAGAGAGAGAGAGAGAGAGAGA